TACTAAGTGATTCACATTTTGCCACTTTACTAGAGTGCAATTAGCTGAAGCAGAAAAAAATGTTCAATGTAAAGCAGCTCAGCTGAAATTGTTACTCAGCTCCTCAGCAGGGCCCGGTGAAAGTCTCGAGGTGTTGTCGTGGGCATTGGTGCAAGAAGCAACATTTTCATTTCTTTCCACGCGAACATTTTTTCCCCTCTTACATTCACAGAAGCAGAGTATGGGAAATCACTGGAACATGCTGTGCTGTTTTCTGTCTACTGATTTTGGTATAGACCTGTGAAATGACACCGAAAGTAAGCACAGTATTTGAGAGGAAATGTGGTCTTTACAGTGAAAGCGAGGAGCTGGCTTCATTCCTGACTCTGCTACAGACTTACTCTGTCACCTAGGCCAAGACTTTCTTTCATGCATTGGTTTTCGTAGTTAAAGTGTGAAGATAACAAGTTAAGGCCTTTTTGGTCAACATCCATGTCAGTTAGAGGAATTTTATTGGAGGAGAATCAGATGGATTGCACTGTTAGCGTAAAAAGTACCTAGATGTGCATAATAACACCTGCCTTGCTGATGCTCCCGCGCAGTAGCTGTCATTAAAAGTGTCAACTGCTAACAACCTATTCTGACATTTATGGAAATAAGGTAATTCTCTCTTCAAGAAAAGAAAAACTTCATGTGCAGGTAAAAGTGGACTTTTGTGTTGGTCTATAATAAAGGTGCTCACTCTAATTGTTGTGACTATTTATTACTGTCACGGAAACCACTAGGACAGCTCTGAAGTAGCTAACAATGCCGTAAGCAGAGATTTTCCTACTTGAAAAGCAAGCATGAAATGTGTTTGCTGATTATGAAGTATTGGCTTGATGTTTTGGTGTCCTTTAGGTATTGGTAATAGGAAAGATGAGGAAAAAGTAACTTTCTGAACCAGTTGTATGTATGGATGGAATATAAAGAGCTGCCGATGGCTCGAATGGGAAGGCTTTCTTTTTAAGGCTGTATGTGGTAATCAGATGCAGTTAATTTTTGCACTCCACTTGTATATTGATACTGATTTAGCCAGCGTCAGCACTGTCAATATCATTAGTAATGTGGCAGGTAGATGGAAATATGAATGTGATTGCATTAATAAATTCTTAATATATTCAACCTTTCATAAGCACATAGCATTACAATTTATTCACTATTGTTTAAGACCATTTTAGTGCAGGAGTTGCATATCGAAGTGCTCTATCGTTGTACCTTTCTGACAGCAGTGACTGGCTTCAGGCCTTAAATGAAGAAGTTGTGCAGTAAATTTAGTAGAGATGTGGAGAGTCGTGCTGTATATTGTATATTACTCAAGGCTTGCAGCGCCCTTTGAAGTTTCTCTTGTGTACAGGCATGGAAATGCTTCTAGAGCCAATTAGTTACTTTCCCTGAAGTTCCTGAAAGGAAAGTTTACCTGAGAGCCACCAATTGTTAGAAAACATACCTGAGAACAGCCCGCCACAAATGGAGCTGCCATTTATTTGACTTAAAATCTAGTAAAGAAAAAAAACAAACTCACCAAGGCTTTAAAATAAATACTGTACGTTTTTATATGACACATGTTATTTCTATTCATAAACCTTAACTAAATTTAGATTTTTATTAATCCAATGTGACCTAAAAATTTTGCATTAACAGCACAATGTGGAATTGGGCTTATTCTCTTTGAATGCAGATAAAGCCATCATCTTGAAAATAGCTCTTTCTGACAAAAAGGTGTTCTTTTGAAATAAAGTCTTATTCAGTACATTCCTCTTAGAGTTAATGTGAATTTTAGTGCCTCTAATTTTAGATTGAAGTGAGGTCTAGAATAAAACCCACCAGCTGACAATTGAATTTATAGATAGTTGTGAATATTTCAGGCTTGAATAATAGAGCTGTAGAATTTCAGACACAGAGAGGAAGAGAGAATTAAGCTCCAACTGTAGTTTTAGACTATAATGCAATGGTGTCTAGGAATTCTTCAGTTTAACGAGCTAAGTAGTAATTAGGAGGGAACTGAGGGAGGGATTTTACAGAGATCTAGCTTAGGCATTATTCCAAATGTTCAGCATGATAATTTGATGGTGGTCCCACCTGCCATCCATATAAGACGGCTCTTGAATTACTCAGATATGGTACAGTAACGAAGGAGTGAAAGCAGTAGGTGGCTGTGGCCTACCACAGCTAGTATCCAGCCTTGTCTCTGGTTCACCTTCAGGGGATTGAGAAAGTTTTTGTTCTCAAGTCAGGTGCTGTTGTTTTTGCTTTTCCTTGCAATGGTTAATGTTTTAACTGCACTTGTGCTTTGCCAGCATGCACCAATCCAGTCTATACTGTTTAAGCTGTAGCCAAAAGCAGCTCTATCTTGGTTAGTACCAGAAACTGCTACTTCAGAAGCATCAGCAGACTGGCTTTGGTCTAAGCAACACTGGTTGATCGGATTTTAATGCTTGTAGAGCTGAGATTACATTTTGGTTCTGACTGCTTGGAGTGGGACATATCCACTTTTGCACTGTCGAAAACAACATGCATTTGGACAACTAATTAATTGTAAATGTTTTTTCCGGGAAGGGAAGGGTGACATTTGAGCTCGTTATTGCACAAATTAGAAAAAAAAAAAAAAAATAGCAGTGGGAGTCTTAGACAAGAACATGCCATCAAGCTGGTTGTGGCAGACTGTAGGCACTGACTCCTGTTGCTGTATTTTGAGACTTTATATGTGGAGTCTCAGCAGAAGGGAGATGAAAAGACCAAGTACCTATTTAGTCAATAAAAGGACCTTAGTGTATAGAAAAATAATGCAAAAAAAAAAAAGGTTGGAAGAATGTGGAAGTTAATTGAGATTTTTAATGATAGCTGTATAAAATTCAGTGTTGAAGAAAGAGGAGAGACAGAGAGACACCATGTTTTAGTACCCTAATAACTTCTAACTCTACTCTAAGATTGTAATATATGTGAGAGCGGTCCAGTAATTATAAGGTAATAAGTGGAGTGGTGGTGTAAGTGCTCTAAATTAAAAGGAATTTGCAGAGCTGCTGTAAGTCAGTGCCGACCCGCTTTCTTTCAAATGTTGACTTGAGAAAAGTGCTTAGCCCAGAGTGCAAGTAGAGAGACAAGAGAGAGCTATCTATTAATTACAGCACTCATTAACAGTGACGGCTACAAGGCAGCAGATGCAGAAGAAAAGGCACATGCTACTGCAGGCTGGCAAGGGGATTTCCCCCCCTTCAGTTCTTGAGGAAAGGACAACACAAGCAGGTGGTCCAATGTAATAAGATATTTTCACGGCTTTAACCTTCCCATTTCCTTGGTTTATTTGCTGACACCAGATAGCTTGGTCCTTCCACCTCCCCAAATAATTACTGATTTTAAGTTTGGAGGGTAACATTTCTGCACATTGATCTGGCTGTTTTCCAAATTCATGTGTCATTTGTTTTCAATAGAATTTTTACAGTAAAATTCACAACAATTGAGAGATCCTACATAAGGACCTATGGGCACTGATTTTAGGGTAAATCTCATCCTTAGCGATATCTTTAATGAAGGGTCAGCTTTGGTCTCAGTTACCCTCATTGGAAAGGAAGCCATCTCTCTGGATTTATGTCTATTTTCCATTGGTGAATTTGATTCCAGATCTTGAAGTAGAAATGTATTTTATTTTATTTTATTTTTAAACACAAAAAGGTGAAAAAGTGAAGACAAGATCTCAAAAACGATTTTAGAAAGTTAAGTCAAGTCAGTCATATTGTTTGGACTCAGGCATTTGCTTTGAAAACATGAATCTATAGCTCCAGGTGGGTGGCCTTATGGGATAGTTGCTTTTCTGCTGATAGTGTTTCTAGAGAAATGCTCATAACTGTCATCTGTACTTTGGCAGCTACTGAAAGTACTGTCAGGAAAATGCTGGGTAGGCCATTTGCTACTGTGGTCTCATAATCACAGCTGTAGCAAATGAAGATAGTATCTGATTTGGAGCTTTTCAGTTACTATTTTTATCCCTTGTTCTGCCTAAATTATGTTTAAAAATAATAAAAAAACTTGGGGATCGAAGAGACAAAGAAGATTTTTTTTTTCCCGCTGTAGAAAGCACTAATTTATCCGATCAAATTTTATATGCTTTTATTTAAGACGCTTAATTCTGAAAACGTGAGAACTGAGAGGTAAGACAGAATCTCACCTTCTGAAAGACAAAAGTTCTATCTAAAATTTCCTTTATTTTTTAATCCAAGTATGAAACATGTAAAATGTCAGATCCTATAGAACTGCAGATATATGGGATAGTGGCATAGTTATTACTGGTTAGTCTGAGGATAATGGCTAGAAAGTAATTGCAGCCAGAGCTGATGAATCATTTCACTTAGATTTTGTGAAAATGGAGGCTGGCCTTAATTATTTGTTAGAGTTCTCGATTGATGTGCTACTCTGTTACTAAATAGCTGTATCTATAGTAAAGCAATATTAATAAAGAAAAAAAAAAAGACTGTGGGAGACTTGCTCTTCGATTCTGGGATCAGATCAATAGAGGATGGATATGTGTTTTAGTCAAGTGTCTTGACAAATATTAATTACAGAGCAGAACACTGATGTGATCAAACTTGGAAATATTTATTCCTGATAATGATGGAATTTACAGAAAGAAAGTACCAATGGAAAAAGGAAGACAGGTAATAGTCAAGTCATCTAATAGGATTATTTTAATTTTTTGACTCGCTAGATGAGAAGATCAGAATTTAGAGTTGAAGTTGACACGTAGCCTAGAGGGCAGGTGTAGGGGACAACAGATGGATTTGGTCTCTTTAAAGTTTTTGTTTACTGCCTGTCTGGAGCTTTGACAAAGCTCTGTCATGCCCGTATGCTGATTACCTTCATGTAGAACAAGAGGTATTGACTAATGAATGAATGATGTGCAGTCCCTAACCCTTGCAGAGCAGCCTTAAAGAGCACTGTCTTTAATACACAGATTGTTCTTTCTCTCTCTCTCCCCACTACAGGCTTCTCTGCAGAATGTCAAGCAAAGATCGACACATTGATTCTAGCTGTTCGTCGTACATCAAGACGGAACCGTCGAGCCCTGCCTCTCTGACGGACAGCATCAACCACCACAGCCCCGGTGGCTCCTCAGACGCCAGCGGGAGCTACAGTTCCACCATGAATGGACATCAGAACGGGCTGGACTCGCCTCCCCTCTACCCTTCGGCCCCAGGGCTTGGGGGCAACGGACCAGTCAGGAAACGGTATGATGACTGCTCCAGTACCATCGCTGAAGATTCACAGACCAAGTGTGAATATATGCTGAACTCGATGCCTAAAAGACTGTGTTTGGTGTGTGGTGACATTGCATCAGGGTACCACTATGGAGTGGCTTCCTGTGAGGCCTGTAAGGCTTTCTTCAAGAGGACAATTCAAGGTTGGTTATTCTTTGAACTTCTTTCCTTTCTTTTGCTTAAAGTGAAATAGTACAATCCTTGACTAAATCCTGTTAGGACATCAGACTGTACCTTTTCATTCTTCGTAGAGTTTGGTCCTACAGATGCCACTCATGAAAAAGCCTCTTTGGGCTTCTTTGGGAGTTCTGTCTGTTGTGTTAAACCTACTGCCACATTCGTTTTGGCTATGAAAAACAGAAGAACACTGGAGCCATCCGGTGCACATTCAAATTAGTTTTCTGTATGAGTTCCTCATGGATTCCCATAAGTGATTGTTGAGAAGAAAAACGTTTATTTTCTGAAAGTTGTCATGGGACACAACATCTCAGGGATCGTGCTTGGGTTTTGTTCCTAGTTACACTACTACCGTACTTAAAATGTTACTAGGAAACCAGTTTATTTTTGTTAAAGCACCAGTGTGTTTAAAATTGGAACAAAATGCGACGGTGTAGTCCTTTGTGCTTGTCAGGGTATTAATAACTGGACTTTCGTCCATACGATACACAGTGGCCTTAAACAGGTCCAACAAATATCTGTAAGATCACATTCTAAGGAGGGGTGAGTTGGCAGCTTCTGGTCTCTGCCCAGTACTTTGTCATAATCTGCTCTTGATACCTGTTACAAATACGCCACATATTTAGGCATAAATTAGTATGAATGGGATAATTTGCATGTCCAGTTGTTCTAGCTTCAGAACCAATGGAGGCAAAATAACTTTCTACTTTGATTTAGATATCATCCTTTCAAGTAAAATTGAAGGTGTTTTATTTAAAGAACATGAAGCCAAGCTTGGCCTGTACAGGAATATAGTGTCACATTAAATTAAATTCAAACTTCAGAGACTAAAATTAGGTTGCTAAGTCCAAATTTAAGCTCCTCGATAAAACTCTGCTTGATTTTCATAGATGTTGAGCACCTAGGATTCTCAGGAAAGACAATGCAATCTGGTGGTACACTTTTCTTTTTAAAAATGAGTTGTGATAAGGAGCATAAAGTTTGTAATTTCATATAACCTAAAATTTGAAACATTTGATCAAGATTTCTTAAATGTAGTACTTCCATATTTAATGTAAAAATTAAGAAGGAAAAATACTGAATGTTATTTTAATTTATCCATTGCTGAGGCAATGGCCATTTTATTCTTCTGTCATCTGTTTCAGTGCTGGGGGATTTGGGCCTTCTACCAGCATGAAGTACCCATTTTATGATGGCTGTACAGGCACTAGAAAGAAGCATAAGTCTCAGGTTGTTCTAGTGGAGCTGAGTGTTACAATGTTTGCAACCAGTAAACAAATATATCTGTGAAGATTCCTAGTGGCCTGGGTTCATATGTAAAATGACTGCTTATGCAAAAACAGTCTGCTCATTTCAAGTCTTTCTTTTGGAGAAAGTAAGAAAAAGAGGTAGGTGATTTCACTTGACCTTCAAGAGCATTTTCAGAAAAGCTCAAAAAATATTTCCACTGAAGCAGTTTGTATTTTGTGGTTATGAAGGTTCAAGCTCAAACTTCAACTAGCAACTCTGTTTTTATAAATGGTATTTAATTTCTGTGCAATAGCTATCCTAGAGAACTGAATCGATGTGCAATTATCTGAGTTGTATTTTGAGCATGAAAAAATGCCACAGAATTGTTAACAGATTCAAATGTTGATTTCTGGCAGTAATAGGTAGCCTGCAATTTTACACCGCACCACACAGAAGTGAAGCATAGAAGGAAGCACAAGACAGGGACGTCATTCTCCAGATTAGCAACCTGGACTTGGCCACGCAGCTCAAGTTAGAACTGGCAGCTGTGCCAAAAGTCTCCGCACGGTAAAAGCACTAGCTGCATCAGCAGGTGACAGTGCTGTGAAGACAAAAAAAAATATGCAGTAAGGCAAAACCAAGCATTGAATGGAAAAGCAATAATGAAGAAACTAAGAATAGAAAGTATGTTACCATCATAATGTCATGGCAGCATCTTCAGTACTGGTGCTGCCTAAACTGGCACAACTACTAGGAGTTTTCAAATACCGTCCTAAATAATGGAAGCTACTTACTTTGGTGAATCAAACCATGAGTTGTGGTAGGTAACAAGAAGTGTGAAAGAAAAAGGTACTCCTCATATTTTGAATGGGCAAACTCTACTTCTATGCTTGAATGAAGAATGATTCCCCTGAGGTTTTTTGCTCCAGATGGTAGAATTTAGTCCCAGCGTTCCTACAGGTCATTCTTCTCTGTACTGTTTCAATTCTTGGTTTGTATCACATTCTTTCACTGCTTGTTTTTAAAATCAGTTGATTGCTGCATAACTCCAAATAAGAAAACAGGAAAAAGAAAAAGCCCAAGAAATTTATAAATACAGAATAGTAAACCAGACTACCTGAAGAGTCAAATATTGTATGGATAGCATGTAAGGGTAACATATCTTGATGCAAAGAATTGCTTATTTTAAATACTATGAATTTAATTGTAATGACCACTTAATTATAGATTTACTGAAAAAGAACATTTGACTTCCCAAACCTTTTTTGTTTATCACTCATCAGTTACTGAATTAGCTCAGACTTGTAGAACGTAAGTGCTACTCCTGTTGAAGTCATGGGCAGAACCATCCTAACTTCAGTGAGAGCAAGGCCAAGCTGATAAAGTTAGATTATGAAGCATATCTTGTGTTCATGTCATGCCTGATGTCCTTTCCACTAAGTCAATGGGAGTCTTTCCATTCTTTCCATTTCAAAGAAGTCTTTTGAAATCTCAGTAGGTGAAAGCCCCAGGCAGCTGTTCAGGGAGCCAGGACAGTATCTGTATACCACCAGCGTCTTACATAAGACAGAGGTGAAGTGCATCAGGGGATACCTCGTAGCCCCTTACACGAAGTGAATTTCACTCTAATGTGGAGTGTGGAGTATCCACCTGTGTTTAAGCATAATGGAGATTATCATTCCATTTCAGATGACAGCCATTTAGTCTAAAAAACATCCGTTCCTGGCTGATGGATTTCTCTTCTTCTTCCTGCCTCTTTAATCCCTGCTGATTTTCTTAAAAGTAAAGAAATTAAATGAATCCTGTCTTGAATTATAAGGAGGAGTGATTTTGGCTTTTTTGAATACAAGTTTTTAACACAGAAATACGTTTGGGGCTGTGGTAAAGAATACGTAGATTATGATAAAAATCTATAATATTAGCAAAAATTAGAAACAATAAATTACCTGGCTGAAAAACTGAAACAAAACCCACCAGAAAACTAACTCAGTATATGAAATTGATATTGTCTTAGGTCATAGTAGAATGTAATGACATTCTGCCCAATTTTGGGACATATAAGGGATGGGAGAACTGGATGTTCTCTCTGCTCAGCCTGGTACTCGCTCAGCTGCAACTCTCAGTTTGCTTCTGGGATCATTTACATGGTGGCTGATTGCAAGTGTCTCACAGAAACACACACACAGCCAAATCTCCCCCAAATTGGCTTAACATCAGGGATAGCAGAAAATAGCAGCATCTAAAAATAGTTACAGGTCCATTGATTTTTAGGGTCTCTCCGCAGTTTTTGCTGTGCACTGTATTATCTTGAAAACTCCAAGCTTTCATTAAAAGAATGAGAGAAAAAAAGAATTTTCAGTTGTCAGCTGGGTGCAGAGTCTTGTGTTCAGCACAGAGGTCTTGTACGTACTAGATATTTTGTAAATACATTTCTCATAATTTTTATTTGCTCGGTTATCATAAAGACTAGTAAGTACACATTTTGCATTAATAATTACTCAGTGCCTGTAACTTAAACATTTCTGCAAGTGGATTGAAATGGCATTGCTTTCAGTAGAAGGATGATAGGATTTACAGATTTAGACACTTTACTACTTTTTTTTTTTTTAGCCTCCGTCTCTCTAAAATAATGTCCTTCATCTAGGCAACTTTCTTCCTCCCTCCTTCCAGATCTTCAGGACTGTAATCTTTGGACGCTTTAAACTAGCATGAAAAGGCGGTGTGAAAAGTCTAAGTATTGACTGATATTTTGCCTTGCTGGTAAGGCTTGTTGCAAAAGTGTCAGAGCTCACTTGTTATTTCCTTGGACAGTGTTTGAATTTTCCCCATAAAAGCTAAAATAGTTTGCATTCAGCAGTCCTTTAGTTCTTGGGATTTGTTTTTTTTGGCTTGTTTGTTTATTTCTTAAGAAAAATCTGTTGGATGAACAGTATTAAAACAACAATCTTCTGTTTATACGCAGGGTGAGTAAAACAACAGGTTGTAAGAAGCCCTGCAGTCATACCCTCGCTGTCTCATTTAAGAGCTTTATTCCTGAGAGTTGTTGCCTGTCCCCGTCTTCTAACACAAACAAGAAATTATCCATCCGGGGAATACTGTTGTCTTTTTGGTCATTATGTGAACTAGACCAAGTCCAATGCCATCTCATTTTATACAGTTCTGCGGTAATGTAGTTCCTATGGTCTTTAAAGCGTGCCCAAACTAGGAGCTAGATTAAACTGCTTTGTACTTTGTTCACCTTTTTGATTACTCAAAGTTGGTTTTAATCCCTTTAGTGTTCAGGTTTTTCAGACCTCTTTGGAGTGTTTACCCATTACTGAGCCAATTTGATCTGTAAATGTACAAACACTTTACAGTAAATATTTTTTTTTTAGTCAGGAAAGTTAGGACTAGCTATGTAAATTCAGATAAGGTGACATTTAAAATCACAGAATCACATAAAGTTTGATTCAAAGTTGCACGTGACCAAAGTGGCTTCCAAAGATTAATTTTCATCTCTCAAAGCTGACTCCTATAATACTGCCCATCATTTTTGTGGAGGAAATGAAAGCAAATTAAGTAAGATTTTATGGGTTTTCAGCATCTTTACTGTTAGCTAAGATTATTGGTTTTTTATAGAAAGATAGGGTGGGGGCTTGCATCTTGGTGCAGTAGTCTGTAGACCTTGGCTCTGGTGCAAAGATGGTAGCCCTCCAGTGAACCTAACACTAAATGTCACCTGAATCCATCATTACCT